CTATTCACACTTTAGTTCGTTCCCAAGGATCGGGATTCCCAAGGGTCATCAAGGATCGAGTCAGTTTTTGACCGACTTTTTTCTCCATGGACAGATTTGGCTCAAATATTGTCTTGGGGTAGTTTGACCTCCTGACTATCACACTCTCTTAGCCCGAAACCTCGTGGCGCTCGCGCCACAAGCGCAAATGGGGATTTTAGCACCGGCGCCTGTGGCGCGAGCGGGCGCCAGGAGGTTTCGTGCCGATCAAACTACCTCAGGAGACAAACTTTCAGCCAGTTCCGTTCACGAAGAAAAAATCGGTCAGGAAGTGACCAGATTCCGGATGATTGGGGCAGTAAAGGGTTAATAGTGCCGAAATGAGTTTTCGAATTAATACCCCCTCCTGGGAAAAATGAAAAGGCATCAATTGATGAGTTCAAGGGGGCGATTTAAACTGAGCAGCGGCCAAACAGCGAGAGTACGGTAATTGTGAAAACGGTACCTTCGGAGAAAGTTCAGATTTGTACAAGATTTTGGCAATCGGACAGCTGGACTGATCTTAGAAAACTGAATGTCTGAGAAATGGAAGTACGAAAACAAAGCCTTTTTCGACCAATAATTCTGAAAGGAACTCTTAGGGTAATTGGCTCCGTGCTAAACTGAATTGAACCCCAGCAATTTAGGCTGTTAGCTGTTCGATAACCGTTTAGTTGGGCTATAGCTACACACGGCTGATGAGTACGTCACTCAGTGCTAGAAAAATAGAAGAGAGAACGATGAGGAGGATGGCGCTAACCGTCTGAGCCGACTGGAAGAACGCCTGAATACGTTGCGATCGGTTCATCCTTGTCTTCACATAGTGCAGAAATTCTTCGATTCGACCTGAGAGATGCGTGATTCGGGCTCCATCCTCGACACCACTACTGGAACCAAGTTCCACCAGGCGAGCTTTGTGACCCTAGAGACACATGTCATGTTCTTTGAAGCGAAAAACTGGGGGGATGCTCTCGTATTACAACGAGCGAAGCGTATCCCGCTTAGCTACGAATAGTACAAGAGGGCACGCACATTGCCCTCGTCTAGGAGCACTTTGAATCCTGTTTCGTTGACAGCCTTTACTCGACGTTCTGCATGTGTGAGCCATTGCTCGATGATCTGAAATATAAGGGATCAGAAGCTGTAAAAGAAGAAAGTCTATTGTGAGTGCCTCCCCCACCTGCAGCTCATCCGCTGAAGGATTGCCTGCCATCTTCGACCTCTCCTTCTTCCACATTGCCTCCATACGCTCCCATTCTGAGGCGATTCTGAACATGAACGATCATTATGCACAAGACCAAGTATAGTTCCACTAGAAAAGTATATCTCAGTTACGTTCGTCCTAAAAGGCACGCTCCGCTTTCGTTCGATGTTCGACGCCCTCTCTGGACATGGTAGTCTGTCCTACCATGAAGAAATCTACATTTGCAGCGCAAAAATACGTGAGGAAAGCGCGACTCGCTCGTGGTGGCAAAGCCACCGCCCCGCCTACTGACCACAGCAACGCCCAACTTTCGCTTTTAGAGGCTTTCATGGTGGCGCGGCTGTTCCACCACTAGCTTTCTCCATTCCTAATGGTAATAGTGCGGTGATAAAGGGAAAGGGCTGCACCAACAAATGGGAACTCGTCCGACGCGCCCCTTCCTTCGCCCTTTTGCAGGTATAAACGTTGTCCGCATGGAGTTCTGTGTTGGTAAAGTCTTTCAGATGTAAAGGAGTCTGCTGATTTCTTGACTTTTGTGCCGTTTATCATCCTGTGGCTGGTACTTGAGAGGCATAACTCCATTTCCAAATGCGTAGTGCCCTTAAACTTGAACTAGACAAGAACAGAAGTACATTTTGGTAGAGCGGAGGTGGTGCAGTGACAGCTCACCATGCAGATCCGTGAGTCAGCAGTTGGGTCGGCTTCCACCGTCAAACCAAGCTTTTGATCCCAACAAAGAAGAGGTAAGTTGGTCCCAGACCAAGTCTCGCATTATATTATATAAATCGATTCGTACTGTATATGCGACTGGCTCTGCGGCCCATCAGAGACTAGCAATCGCCATTCAAAAAAGCTTGTACGATTCTGTAGAGTGAGCAATCTGCGTCGCGCATGTCAGTAAGGGTCTCAGCTGCCTAAATCTCTTCAGAAACTGTCCTTTTGCGAAGTCGGATGCTTTTGCCAGTTTTGGCCACGCTTTGATCGGAAGCTTTCCACAACTCATTCTCCAAATTGACAGGCGGCTGCACACGAGAAATGGCCGTCTGCTGCAAGTGGTGCAAGCTGGCGGCGCGGTGCCGTTAACAGTCAGGGTGCAGATGGGAGAAATGGTCGTGTCGTATGACCCCCTCCTTCCGAATATTCGTCCTCTTGTATGACTGGGGCATGTAGTGGCGTAGAGGAAATTCTGACAAATAGCGATCCCCCCCCCCTCAACAACTGTCTCTCGCACCAAGTCCTCCCTTCCCATCCAACACCTCTAACCATCCTGATGCTCCACGTTTTCCAGAACCTTCTCCCAGTCTTGCGCGGGGGTTACCTCCAAAGGAGTGTTTCCTCGAAGGCACATACATGCCCCTCTAGGGATCCCCTGCCTACGACGTGCCTGGGTAAGACTATCTTCGCCCCATCCTACCTATCGCCTTCCTAAGTTTGAAATATTCACATTCATCTTCGGGAACTTCTTTAGGCGAGACAGTATACAGCACATAGGAAATATGAACCGCGAAAAGTCAAAGAACGAGAAAATTTTTCACGAGCTCGGAAAAATTTCTGAAGACCATATGCACCAGACATGACTCCGTCAACTAAATACGACAACCTTCCCTGCTCAGCGACCAAGCACGACCTTCTGATGGGATTATCCCAATAATGCTCTGCCCTGCTTACGCTTTTCCCGCACGTATCCCCCGGGTGTCCATCTCAGTTTTCCCTGTCCGTCATCGGCACGCAGAAGATATTGTTCAAACAAATGTAAAGAGATAAGATATCGCGTGTGAATCATCCTTTCGGGTGTGAGTTTCCTTCCAGTCAGCCCCAATACCAATTGTTGGATATTTGACTTTGAAGGCACTTTCGGCCGATAAAAATAGGCTATGACCTTACAATGTGTCAGACGATTCAAGGAGATTGGGATGCTGCGGCTGCCTTTAGAAAACGTGAAACCATCGGCAAGAATTCCGCTTAAGCTAACCAATTAGGCCATGGGCGCCCCTTAGGCCCATGCCGACCCCCACCGGCTGCTAGCTACTAGCTAGTAGCCACTATGCTATCTCTCTCCATTCCGAATGGTGAGAGTGAGGTGATACGATAAAAGAGCTGATATCTTTATGATAACGACGAGTGGAAATTCGTACAAACATGCGTTTTCTTCATTGCATGCATGTACAAGTTGGAGTCGATATGGAATCCTATTTAGGGCATTTTCGGCTGTTTTTCTGCTGCTTTTCTCCGCTAATCAGATACCTAGCCCTTTTTCGTTCCTATGTGGGTTCCGTTACCCACAATCTGTGGTCGCGGGCTTTGCCTTTAACTAAGTTGCTGAGATTGCGTACGGGGTGCGTTTACCGCTGTTCACGTGTGTTCGCTCTTCAAAGCTTCAGCCGTGCCCATTCTGAGGACATTAGGATTCAGTACATGCTGGATTCAATTTTCATGCATGCAAAATATTAACGGCAACACATGGCGCCAAGCATGTGTACGGAATCACTGCCAGCTGTGGCCACAGTGGCGTAGGAGACCACTCGACGTACTAAAAACTTTTCTCAACTTAATTACTACCGTGCACTAATCACTACTACTTGCAAAACCGTTTTTTTCATAGAATGTGAAGTGGTAGAGAATGGCACATCAAGGTGGAGCAGACTGAAAGGCTAAAATGCTAGAGAATAAAAGCTGCCAGGGAGAATGTCATCCTTTTCCTTTCTAATCCTGTTGAAGCAGCGGTGGAGCAGTGCCACCGCCCTCCTCGGTCTAAGCGAATCCCAGATCGAATGTCACCGAGGCTGACCATAATTGCATTCACTCAACCGTTTACAGACTTGTTCGCTGTAAATGAAGGGGCGTATAAGGAGGGATGGGTTTGGCGCTGCGCCCAAACCGATTCTTCACCAGTGATTGGGGCGGGTAAGTGACAACAATTTGTGAAAATCAACTGGTACGAAAAGACATGATAGGTTGCATTCATACTTTGCGGCAGCGTCCACCAGCGACCGTCGAGCGTCCGTCAGCATCAGTAGCAGCGTCCTCCAGCGACCATCAGCGTCTCGAAAGACTAGCAAAATATGGATATCGATCTAGCGTCTACCAACGAAATAGAGAGTATGGGGAAGTATGCGGGTAGTAGACTGCTGATAGAATATGAGGAACTAGAAGGGACGAGACAGCGAATAGGCGTAACCTGCATAGTACTAGCGTACAATACCGTTTTCCTGGTTGCTGGCAGACGCTAGAGTGATATTCATAACCCCTCAAAACGCTGCCGTCCGTTGGATCGATATCCATGGTTTCCTGGACGCTGACGCTGACTGACGCTCGAGACGCTGATGGTCGCTAGTGGACGCTGGTGGTCGTCGGTGGACGCTGCGCAAAGTATGAACCCAGCCAGCCTTGTCGCCTGCTGTCCTCAACAACTAGCGGAAGGTTCGGCGCAGCGTCCTCAAATTCCCCATAGTCACGGCATGAGGTGAGCGTTTGGCTAAATTCACTGGACAGACAAACCAACTTAGCTGTTTTTGAGGCCACTTGCTGTGATAAACATACCGCAACATGATTTTCTCGATGAGTACGCATGACGTAAGCATTTCCTGATCACGTTCGGCGTTGTCAGCGATCCAGGCCAAGCGCACGAATCTGAGTGATGACTGATGCTCCCACATCCATCGCCTGCGCAGTGGTGTCGATCAGTTCTGAATGCAGCTGTTATGCTGAATGCAACTGGTAAAGAATGTAATTTCAGAAACTCAATAAAAGGCAAACTCAGCGTACCGTTCATCATGATGTCGGTCTTTTTGGATGCAAAGGCGGCGTCGTGTCCGTTTTCCGCCTGTACACCAATCTTCAACATCTCCGTGATGCCATCCACTAGCTAGAAAAGGAAAAATGCTTATGGGAACAACGGAAAAACGCTTCTTTACATGATATCATATTGTGCATAACGATGTGAAGTAGGGGCGGTGTCAAGAGGCATGGAAATGAACACCCCAACGCTGCAGTATTCTGCTTAACGCAATAATGCCAGCCTGAGACGGCAATTATTGCTAAAAAAATTACGCCTTCTGATACCAGCCCGTTGCTTTGCATTACACATGTCAGTGTACTATATCAGAAACGATAAACCTCATTTATCATTCAGACTGGAATGCTTAGTAGTTCATCAAGCTAGAATTAAAGAGCGCTCAACGCTTGCATGACCGCACGTCAAAGCAGACTCAGCATTCAGAAGGTGTCATTCACCAAGGATAACCACACTTTTCAGAATCCTCGTCTTATTTCTGTAGAAGAATAAGGAGTAGAAAATCTCATAATAAAAAAAAGAATATGAATGCTAGGCATTACTCACCCTTTAATGCCCCATTCTTTAGCAGTCTGCAGGATTTTTGTATGATACACTGCTGTTTAACGCCGCATGTACGGCTTCCGAATGTTTATCCAAGAAGCGGAGCAAATGCTGAGTTGTGGGCAAAAGTCGTGCCCCAGGCGGGAGTCGAACCCGCACCTCACGCTTTCCGGGCGAGTGCGCTATCCGTTACGCCACCAGGGCCGCTTTTACCCTCTCAGCTTAACGGCTTTTATGCCGTAGCCTACCAAGTTAAACGTGTGAGTGCTGATAGGCTACGGCATAAAAGCCGTTAAGCTGAGAGGGTAAAAGCGGCCCTGGTGGCGTAACGGATAGCGCACTCGCCCGGAAAGCGTGAGGTGCGGGTTCGACTCCCGCCTGGGGCACGACTTTTGCCCACAACTCAGCATTCTTGTGATAAACAGTCATGCCAGGCTTTCTTAATACAAAAAGGCAGATTATCGACTGCAATCTTGTCCTCGAGGGGTGGTTCAATTCTCATCATCCTTCAGATACGAATATCACAAATGCATGCCTAGTTTGAACTGCGGAACCAGGGTTAAGCACCATGCGCCGGAACTAGGCAATCGAAAAAGCCTACCATAAAGAGGGACGTCCGTGCGACCCACTTCCCCCTAGTGGCTGTGATAATGTGGAAGTATCTGCTCTCTTCATCAGGATGTAGTTGTATATGTTGTTTATGCGCAATGTTACCGAATGAGTATCTGAGTATCTACTGGGGAGAGGGGGGGGGGGGGCAAAAAAAAGACAATTTGGCCGAGTTACATATCAGTAAAGTTTACTCAACCCACATAGAAGACTGGATACGAGTAGGAGGCCAACGGAACTCAAGTCACCTCCAAACAGCTGCGAAACTTCTTGTATGGAGTCACCCATGGACAGCTACCTGGAGACCAGCACTCTTGATCTGGAAGACCTCCAACATCGAGCAGCTCCGACAACGTCGCTACGGTCCAGGATATCATCTTCACCGCGGGTTGATGGTATGGACCGGAAGTTCCTGGAATGGGAAGACCGATATTTTCTTCGTGGACCCCGGACTGAAAGTGAACGCTGACGGTTACATCGACAACTCGAGGAGAATATCCTGCCTTCATGTCGTCGCCTGTACCATCTTGGAAACTTCGTACTGCTACAGGATTGACTGCCACCACATGGAATCGAAGGGCGTTGGAAAAATTCTCGCCTACTTGGAATCGGAAGGTCGTTGAGTACCTGAAGAAGACGGAATATTCCAAGTGTGTCACCTGACCTAAGCCCTCTCAATTATCAGCTTC